CTGTGGATTCTACTCCAATTCTAGATAATATCACCATTGAATTGGGCACCCAGTTGATGCTGGAGAGTTGGAGAGTTGGCTGGTGTGGGAAAACATTTGACTCAGAAAAGCCAAAATTTTAATAATAGGTGCCTAATTCTCCTTTTGTTGTGGTTTAGTCAAGTCCGACTCTTTGCAACTCCATGGACTTCCCAACACAGATACTGAACCTGCGTCTCCTGCTGGGAAGGTGAATTCTTTACCAGTGAGCCACCTAGAAAGACCCAATTCTCCTTTTCCCTACTAGATAATCTTCCCTGTTGTTTCCTGTTGTTTTGGGTGGCATTGGGCCTTACTGCATCAGGGCCTTTGCATTTAGTATTCTCAATGCCTGGAATTCTTTTCACCCTCCCCCTTCAAAATAAAAAAAAAAGGCTTGATTTGCTCCNCCCCCTTCAAAAAAAAAAAAAAAAGGCTTGATTTGCTCCTTCCCCACTTTAACTTTTGCTGAAACTTCAGTGAGACCTTCTGTACCTGTCTGTCTTCAAAAATGAGCAGTCCCAATTTTGTGACACCTGTCTCAATTTTCTAGTTTTCATCCATATTGCTTTATTATCATCCGACAGACTCTATACTTTGCTGATGCATTTTTTCCTCTCCTATGAGAATGTTAACACCTGAAGGAAAGAGATTTTTGTTGTTTTCTTTTCTTTCTTCTAATATTACATCCCCAGTACTTAGGACAGTGCAGGGCTTATGTTAGGCTCTCAATAAATACTTTGGGTAGATGAATGAATGAATGGAAAATAAGTGCAAATAAATTATTCAGAATGAAGCTCAGAAAGGTAACAGGATAGTAAATGCTATATAGAGCTTAAGAAACATGAAGAATAAAATAAGAAGGTCTAGTATGATGAGTTCCAGAGGTTAAAATAGAATAGGGAAAAAGCAATATTGATTACTACATTGAAAAAGACAACCCAGTAGAAAAATGAACAGAAGATATGAGCAGAAATTTTGCACAAGCAGAAAGACAAGTGTTTTATAAAATATTAGAACTTTGTACCTCATTAGTGCAAAAAAAAAAAAAAATCAGATATCCTTTACAATCTGTTCTCTGTATTCATGAACTTGGGTTTGTTGTTGTTTTGTTCTGTTTAGACTACACATGAAAGTGAGATCATATGGTATTTATCTTTCTCTGACTTATTTCACTTAGCACAATGTCCTCAAGTTTCATCCATGTTGCAAATGGCCAGATTTTTTTTTTCCCATTACTGGGTATATTGTGTATATATCCCACATCTTCTTTATTCATCCTTCAATTGATACTTAGGTCACTTCCATACTTGGTTATTGTAAATAATACTGCAATGAGCATGGGGCTACATATATCTTTGAGTTAGTATATTTGTTTTCTTCAGGTGAATACCAAAAAGTGAAATTGCTGGATTTTGTGGTAGTTCTATTTTAAAGTTTTTCTGTAACCACCATACTCTTCTCCATAGTGGGTGCACCAATTTACAGTCCACCAACAGTGCACAAGGGTTTTCTTTTCTCTACATTCTCACCAACACTTGTTAACTCTGGTCTTTTTGATAATAGCCATTCTAACAGGTGTGACATGATATCTCATTATAGATTTGATTTTCATTCCCTTGATGTTAGTGATATTGAGCACCTTTTTCTGTACTTGTTGGCCATTCATATGTCTTATTTGGAAAAATATTTAGATCCTTAAATAAAAATATTTTCCCATTTAAAAATATTTTTATTTATTCATTTATTTTTGGCTGTGCTGAGTCTTCATTGCTGCACAGGCTTTTCTCTAGTTGCCGTGCCTGGGCTTCTCACTGCGGTGCCTTTTCTTGCTGAAGGGCTCTAGGGCTTTCGGTTTCGCTCAGTAGCTGTGGTGCAGGGGCCTCGCTGCTCCTTGGCGTGTGGGATCTTCCAGGTTGGGGCTGAACCAGTGCCTCCTGCATTGGCAGGTGGATTCTTTACCACTGAGTCACCAGGGAAGCCTCCTCTGCTCATTTTTTAATCAGATTGCTTTTTGCTATTGAGTTGTGTGAGTTCTTTATATATTTTGGATATTAACCCCTTATTAGATATGATTTGCAAATATTTTCTTCAATTCCATAGGTTGTCTTTTCATTTTGTTAGTGGTTTTGCTTTGCTTTAACAGAAGCTTTTTAATTTGACATAGTCCTACTTGTTTACTTTTACTTTTGTTACATTTTAATTTTGGTATCAAATCCAGAAAGTCATCACCAAGACTGATGTCAAGGAGCTTAAAATCTGTATTTTCTTCCAATAGTTTTATGGTATCAAGTCTTATTATGTTCAAGTCTTTGATCCATTTGAGTTAATTTCAAATGTGTATGCTGTAAGGTAGTGGTCCAATTTCATTCATTTGCATGTGGCTGTCTGTCTGGTTTCCTCAAGATTGTTGAAAAGACTGTCCTTTCCCCATTATATATTCTTGGCTCTGTTGTCAAATATTAATTGACCATATATTCATGGGCTTCTTTCTGGGCTTTTTATTCTGTTTTGTTCTTCTGTGTTTCTTTTTCTGCCAGTATCATACTGTTTTGATGACTATAGGTTTGTAATCTAGTTTGAAATTGGGGCTCATGATGCCTCCATCTTTGTTCTTTTTCATGATTGCTTTGACTATTCTAGGTCTTTTATGGTTCCATACAAATCTTTAGGACTGTACTGTAAAAATGCTGTTGGAATTCTGACAGGGATGTATTGAGTCTTTATCCTGCTTAGAGTACTAAGGACATTTTAACAATATTTTTCTAATCCATGAGAATGGAATAGCCTTCCATTTATTCAACATTTTCCATCAATATATTATAGTTTATAGGCATTTCACCACTTGGTTTATTTTTTCCCTTTGGTATTATTTTATTCTTTTCAATGCAATTGATTGTAAATGAATTATTTTTTAATTTCTTTGTCTGAAAGTTTGTTAGTAGTGTATGGAAACACTGTACACTATTTTCATATATTGATTTTGTGTCCTGGAACTTGCTGAATGTATTAGTTCTAACTGTTTCAGTGAATGAAGTCTTTAGGATTTTCTGTACATATCATCTGCAAATAGAGTTTTCTTCTTGCTTTCCAGTTTGGATACCTTTTATTTTTTTTTCCTATCTCATTTTTAAAAACTTGGTTATACACAAAGTTTTTGTCTTAATAGTAGTCTTTAGAAGTTAGAAATAAGTACATGGTAATTCTGTATACCTTACTCCAACCCCTACCACAAATAATATGTTTGTAAATGCTGCAGTTTACTAACTAAAAGTCAACAATTTAAGAAAAATTTGTAAGAATGAGCACTCACTCATTCTTACTGGGTAAAGTATTTTTAAAGCCTAAAAAGCTTTTTGGTATGTATTTTGTTTCCTTTTTTCCCCTATTATTATTTAGGGGCCTAGAGTGTAAATGGGACACATTTACATTCCCAGGGAAACAGTATGACAGAAACAACTAGAAAGTTTCCATTTTTTAAATCATTCTTTGCATATATTACTCCTGTGGATCACATGAATAACCTTTAACAGGCTGAATCCCATTTTTATTTTTAAATTTTAGTTTTAATTGCAATAATTGTTCATGCAATTGTGAGAAATAATACATAAAAATGTCATTTACCCTTTATCCAGTTTTTCCCCTGAGGTAACATTTTGTAAGGGCTTCCCAGGTGGCACAGTGGTAAAGAATCTGCCTGCTGATGCAGGAGATGCAAGATATGTGGGTTTGATCCCTGGGTCAGGAAGATCCCCTGGAGTAGAAAATGGCACCCTACTCCAGTATTCTTGTCTAGGAAATCCGAAGAGGAAATCACCAGAGGAGCCTGGTGGGCTCCGGTCCACGGGGTCACAAAAAGCCAGACATGACATACACACATTTTGTAAACATATAGTGTAATTTTATAAATAGAGCATTGACATTGATGTAATCATGTATGTTCATTTCACTTGTTTCATTTGTATATCTGTGGATTAGTTCTATACATTTATACCACATGGTATGAGTTTGTGTGTCCACCACTGCAGTCAGGACACTGAAAAATGTCATCACTGCATGGATCCTTTCTGCCCGTTTATAGCCACACCTGTCTCCTTGCTTCCCCACTCCAACTCCCATCCCCTACTCCTGTCCCTAAGTGCTGGCAACCAGTTATCTGTTTTTAATTTCTAAAATTTTGTCATTTCAAAAATGTTAATGAAATCTTGTAGTATCTCATCTTTTGGGTTTGAATTTTTTTTCACTTAGCATAATTCCATAAAGATTCATCCAAGTTGTGCATGTTAATGAGCACCATTTTTAAATTTAGCCGAAGAATGTTTTGTGGAATTTTTCAACTCTGAATTCACTTTGTGAATATCAATTTCTCTTCTTTGATTACTTTGAGTAGTCGTTAAGATCATTTATTTTAAACTACAATAGACTTGGGACTAAGTCTTATGTCTACTTTGGAAAAAATTATTTTAACCTTGCTAAACCTTAATTTCCTTTTATGTAAAGTGAGAAGAATAGTGCCATTTCATAAGGTATTTAAAGGGTAAATGTGTTAACATATGTAGTGCTCTTAGCATCGTGTCTGTCATAAAGGGTTCCATAAATTAGAATCTAAAAGAAAGATAGAGTTACTGCAGCAGTGTTATTACAGCCTGTGATTTCCAGGTTAACCTTGGAAGTAGTTGCCTTAGTATTCCAGTGACTGTTTGGATTCTGTATATGTTTAGACAAGGGTGAGAGTATTCAATACCATTCTTTTTGACCACTGAACAAGAATGTTTATTTCTTCAGAGTGGGTATATATAATCCTTCTGTTACTTTTTATTTAACTGACCATTGTAAAAAGTGACAGCTTTAAATGTTATGTATCTTAATCAGCAAATACTAAGTTGAAGGCATAATTTATCTTATTACATAATAGTACAGATTTTCTAAGGTTGAAACATTAATTTACACCTTTTCTATTATATATGTGTTTTTTTCCCTAGGTCACCGGAGTCTTGGATGACTGCTTGTGTGACATTGATAGCATCGATAACTTCAACACCTTCAAAATCTTCCCCAAAATAAAAAAGCTGCAAGAACGAGACTATTTTCGTTATTACAAGGTATGGTATAACTTTTGATTCCATCAGTACTGAAGATATTTCTATAGCTTTCTACAGATATGACTTTTATGACTTGGGAAAATCCTCTTCTATTCTTCTCAGCACTCTGTGTATATCCTTTATCACTGGACTGTATTAACTCTTGTAGTGAAAGCCTTTTAGTTTTTTTGAACATTACAAATCTGAACTCCCTTCCTGTGTTTGGGGAATTTCTCATTGGTCAGTTTGGATTTTCAGGCGCAAAGACTCATTCCTCTGTAGACATTGAAAATACCTGAGACTTATTTTGTCAGCCTTCCTTGTGAGTTAGGTTTTGTCATCTAGACACACTTACGCAGGCTTTAAGTTGTGCTGTTGGCAGTGTTGTGTGCTATCAGTGTTAGAGGTGCAGTTCAGTTCAGTCGCTTAGCTGTGTCCGACTCTTTGCCACCCCATGAACCACAGCACGCCAGGCCTCCCTGTCCATCACCAACTCCTGGAGTTTACCCAAACTCATGTCCATTGAGTGATGCCTTCCAACCATCTCATCCTCTGTTGTCCCCTTCTCCTCCCACCTTCAATCTTTCCCAGCATCAGGGTCTTTTCAAAAGAGTCAGCTCTTCGCATCAAGTGGCCAAAGTATTGGCGTTTCAGCTTCAACATCAATCCTTCCAATGAACACCCAGGACTGATTTCCTTTAGGATGGACTGGTTGGATCTCCTTGCAGTCCAAGGAACTCTCAAGAGTCTTCTCCAGCACCACAGTTCAAAAGCATCAATTCTTCGGCGCTCAGCTTTCTTTATAGTTCAACTCTCACGTGCAAAGTCCCGACAAATGTCTTTGTTGGGTGGCTCACAGGAGGAGTGATAGAACAGCCTGAGGACATAAGCAGAACAGCACTGTAGTGACTGCAGCATTGGCTCTTAAGTCTGATAGCCCACTCTAGACCTTCACAGAATAACCAGTGGTAGTTTACAGGCAGTAGCAATAACACAGATTCAAAGGAACAATAGTTTAAAAGCTGCTGTTATACTTTTTTGCCTCTACTCTTGCTCTCAGTATTCATTTGGGTTTATACTTTCTTTGATTTTCATTTTTAGTTTATTTTTAAAATTGAGCATGATTTTTTTCATCCTGTTTCTGTATAGGTTATCTTAGTCTTTTAAATAACTTTGAGGGTTAAAAAATATACTGTATGTGAAGTTTTAAGTTGTACAGAAAGATATCAAAGTAGAGACCTAAAGATTTGGGAACCCGTCCCCTTTTCCCATCAGCACTAAAAATATACAAAAAAGTGGATATATCTCCTCAATACAAAACCCTTTAAAGATGCAGATCCCATAAACTTATTTCAAAAAGAAATCTATGCCTTAGCAAACTGTTCTAATATTTTAGACATTTTTTCATACAAACAGCACAGGTTAGAATAACTTTTTCTAATTCTTAGTCCAAAATTTATGTCTGTTTGCATTTGTAACTGCTTTCTCTTGCTTCCTTTCTATTACTAAGCTTACCCATATGAAATTGTTGCTCTTAGAAGTTGGAAAGGTTGACTATTGCCTGTTTCATATGGTTCAGTCTAATACAATGAAGGAAGTGTTCCTTTTATCAAAGATCATCCCTTCATGGAATGTCCAGATCACATGTCCATTCAAAATGTCGTGGCCTCATTCTCCCACCCCTCCCTTTTTGGAAATGTTTCTTCTGTTTCTGTATCTTCACCCATCTGGTCAATAATAAGCACTCAAATATTCAAATACGTGGATGAATATCTCATTTAATTGTTCGTTACCCTGAAATCCTGTTAGGTCAACATCATCCACATTTTCCAAAAAAGAAACAATGGTTTACATATCCTAAGGTAGAGTACTTTATTTGGCTTACAAACAAAACAGAAGTTTTATTAAGAAATGTGAGGCAGCTCACAAAATTGAAAGAAAAGCTAAAGAAGTATATTTCAGATGAGACAAAAATTATAGCAGGGATTAATGGCCATTCTCTTTGTGATACCAAAATTTTGAATTAAATTAACCATTGCCCTATGTTTTTATATTATACAAGAGTCAGATTTCTGGGAGGAAAGGTCTAAATTGGTCTTGGTAGGGTTACATAGCCTTCCCCCTTGACCAAAAGACAATTTGGTTAATAGTCCTATTTGTATTTGCATATTTGCAAATTGTTTCTCAAAGGAAAATTAGGGGATGTTACAGAAGGAGGAAAAATGAAAGTCAAGTAGGCAGAAATAACAGTGTGCTTGGCTAGGCAACATACAGTTCATCCTTATGCATGGGATTTTAAATATGTTCCAACCAACATATTGAAATTACTCTTAATGTAACCACAGTGTATTCATACCCTCTCCCAGAGAGTAATGCAATGATCTAGTTAATCAGTTAGCTTCAAGTCTAAGATGTTTGGGTGCTATCTACTCTTCGAATTCTGTCAACATATGAATTTAAAAAAAAAAAAGGAAAGCTAAGAGAAAAGGTTAATTTTAAACACACATACAAAATAAATAAATAAGTAAAATAAACGCACATACATAGTTTTGATTCATCTAGCAAGGAAATACAAGAAGTAAGAGCCTAACCTCTGACAGCTGATCAGTTGGCTGCTATAGCTGGTATTTATATTTTCTGTCTTGTACTGTCCATTCCATTCTTTTATTTACCAAATATTTATCAAATTACTTTGTAGCAGAGTGTATTCTAGGTGCTGTGGATACAGTGAATAAAGCAAAGCCTCCAAACTTACGAAGCTTCTTATTATGATTCGAGAGACAAACCCTGGACAAGTAGGAAGTAAAGTGTAATTTGCTGTGATGATGTAGATGTCATGGAGGAACTCAAGTGACAGAAGCACTAGGGCTGGGGAGGGTGGGCAGCCCGGTTACAGAAGGCGGTCAGGACAGGGGGTGTTGTCGGCTGCGCCGTTGGAGCGGAGACCTACCTACGGTGAAAGAGTGAACCATGGCAGAGTCTGGAGAAAGAGCATTGTGGGGAAGGGGAGTGGGACTACAGGTGTTAAGGCGTAAGGCATGTGAAGACCAGCATAGCTGGAGGAAAGTGAATGAGAGGGAGAAGTGGAGAGGCAGTTAGGGGCCTGATTTAAAAAGAAAAAAATTAGGCGATTCCCTTGGTGGTGCAGTAGTAGAGATTCCGNAAAAAAATTAGGCGATTCCCTTGGTGGTGCAGTAGTAGAGATTCCGTGGTCTCACTGCCAAGGGCATAGGTTTAATCCCTCATCAGTAACTAAGATCCCACATGCCACACAGTGTGGCCAAAAAATAAAATAAAACTATGCTTTCATCTAAGCATTTAAATCAAAATTTGAGAATTAAACAGTGACTTTTAAAAAACTGGAGGGCCGTATTATCACATAAAGCGTGATAAGAAGCTATTGGAGGAATTTGTGGAAAAGAGACAGTAAGGGTGGGAGACAGGAAGTGGAGAAGTGATCTCTGAGGCTATTGCAGTAGTTCAGATGAAAGGTGATGTGGGTGTGGAATAAGGTGGTAGAGGCGGAAGAGGTGAAAAATGATCCAGTTGGTGTCATATGGAAAAGGTAATACAACACTTTTTTGATGGATTGAATGTAAGATGTGACAGTAACGGTGAAATCAAAGATGATTTCATGCCTAAGTTTTGCGTGTGTTACCAAAAAATATATCATGACCAAGTGGATTTTATTCCAGGACTGTAAAGATGAGACTTTTAGGTCTTCAACAAGATTCAGTACACATTCTGACTTTTAAAAATGATGAAAGACAAGAGAAATGATAGCCAGTGGTTAAGAGGGGCCAGAGAAACGTAAAAGCACATTGTAACTTGATGGTTCCCATCATAACTGTGGGTCAGAAAGAGGTTAATTTGGTTTATAATGTTAAAAGAGAGCAAGAAGGTGGGTTAATAAAAATTTTGGTGCCTAAAAGAAAAAAAAGAAAAGATGATAAGGAAGTATCCATAATTTTTTCTGGAGAAGGAAATGGCAACCCACTCCAGTACTCTTGCCTGGAGGATTCCATGGACAGAGGAGCCTGGAGGGCTACAGTCCATGGGGTTGCAAAGAGTCGGACACGACTGTGCGACTGACTTTCACTTTGACTTTTCATATTCTTTACCGTGATAATTTCAGTCGTAAATCAGCATTGGCAGCATCTTACTTGTGGGGAAACACTAGAATTCTCCCTTAGATCAGGAACCATGCTGAAAGGGCACCTCCTGTTTCCTTTAATACTGGACCCTTAAATGAAATAGCACGTGTGTGTGTGTGTGTTGTGCTTAGTCACTCAGTCGTGTCTGATTCCTTGTGACCCCATGGACTGTAGCCCGCCAGGCTCCTCTGTCCATGGGATTCTCTAGGCAAGAATACTGGAGTGGGTTGCCATGCCCTATTCCAGTAGATGTTGAAATAGCACCTACTATTTCATTTAATATTGGACCATATTGGCCAATAGGGTGGAACACGAAAAAGCAACTAGAGACATAAAATTCTTAAAAGGATAAATAAAGCCATGTCCATGTATAAATGACAAAAGTAGACCTAGAAAACTCTAAATAAAACATTGCACACAAATAAAAAATACATTAAGACAGCAGGTTATAAATTTAATATTGAAAAAAAATTGAAAAAAAAATTTAATATTGAAAAATCAATATCTTCATAAATATGAGCAATGTTAGAAGATATAATGGAGAAGAAATCCCCATTTACATTAGCAAAAAAGATAAAATATACAGGAATAAATCAATCAAGAAATATATTTTTTATTTCTAAAAGAAGCAAGCTTCAAAACACTTCTTCAAGACACAGAAGTAGGCTCAAACAAATGGGCAGATGTCTTTTGTAGCATAAAGATGTTACCTCTCCCCCATGTTGTGGTTCAGTCCTTAAATTGTGCCTGACTTTTCGCAACCCCATGAACTGTAACCCACCAGGCTTCTCTGTCTCTGAAGCAACAGTACTGAAGTGGATTGCCATTTCCTTCTCCAGGGGATCTTCCTGACCCAGGGATCAACCCTGTGTCTCCTGTGTCTCTTGCATTGGCAGGCAGATTCTTTACCACTGAGCCACTTGGGAAGCCCCAGAGTTAATATATAAATTTAATGTGATCCCCCAAAATAGCAGTAGTTTATTTTTCTGGAGCTGGACAAGTTGTCATGGGTTAAGTTCCTGGGAAGCTGACTCTGAGACTGTGTTTAGTGTCCAGGAGGTTAATTAGGGGCAGCTCTTGGAAACAACAGTGTAGAGAAGGAAAAGGAAGGGAGACGTCAGGTCTGGGCAAAGGGGGAAATAAAGCTGTGACCTCAGGTGACACTTTGGGGGGATTCTTGATTTTTTGAATGTGTTTATTTCATTTTGGCTGTGCTGGGTCTTCGTTGCTGTGAGGGCTTTTCTCTAGCTGCAGTGACTGGGGGCTACTCTCAGTTGCAGTGCTCAGGTTTCTCCTTGTGGTGGCTTCTCTTGTTGCTCTTCTCTGGAGCTTGCGCTTCAGTAGTTGTGGCTTATGGACTCAGTAGTTTCAGCTCCTGAGCTCTAGCGCTCAGGCTTAATAGTTGTGGCACACCAGCCTAGTTGCTCTGAGGCGTGTGGGATCTTCCCAGACCAGGGACCAAACTTGTGTCTCCTGCATTAGCAGGTGGGTCCTTTACCACTGAGTCACCAGGGAAGCCCCTAGTGGGGAGTTCTTAAGATAGTACAACCCCCAGAGCTGTCCCCACTTCAGGGGGATGTCTAGCCTTTTATTTCCTTACACCAGTCATTGGATGTAGTGACACTGGGCAAAGTGGCTCTCATTAGCCAAGGTTGGCTGCCTGCAACATTTCCAGGCCTGGGGGAGAGGCCCTTTCTTCCTGAAGTGTAACCTGAGCAGCCTGTTACAGTGTGTGCACCAGCCTACGCCTTGCATTTTGTATTAATTATCTATCACTGTGTAACAGATCAGGCTAAAGTGTAGCAACGTAAATCAGCAAACTGAGAAAGTACCATTGGAGCAACCCTGAAGGGAATGAGAAAGCAAGCCTTGTGGATATCTAAGGACCAAGAGTCAAGGCTCAGGGACCATGGTGTGCCTCATGTATTTGAGGAACAGCAGGAGGAGGCCAGTGCAGAGGGGCAGGAAACTAGGGAATCAGCCCGTGGGAGGGGCTCTCAGCCACTGAATTGGACTTGGATTTTGACCTGACCTGATTTTCAGAGGTGTCTGTGTGGGGTGAGAGAAGAGTTAGGGTGATCCAGGATTTTGGTCTGAAGAACTAGAATAATGGAGTTGGTATTTACTGAGATGGCAAGAATCACTACAGGGCAGAGCACAGTTTGGGGTGTCTTAGTACATTTGAGATGCCTGTGCTTGTCCTGTGCAGGTGTCAGGGAGGAGCTAGATTTACAAGCCAGCCGCCCAGGGGCACCTGCAGTTTCCAAGGGTGCCAGCTGATTTGGGTATGGCTTACCTCACCTCACATTTATTTTATTGAGGTGTCTATTATGTGTTGTAGATACTGGGGTAAAATAATGAACCAGGTAAAATCCCTGTCCTTACAGTGAGGGGTTCAGACAATAAGTAGGTAATATTCAGGTAGTGATAAATGCTATAATGATACAGTGTGTAGGGTACATACTAGACACTACTTTAGAGAGTCTGGTCAGAAAGGTCTCTCTGCAGAGGTGGTCTTTGAGAGAACCCTGAAGGAGGTGAGGGGATTGAGCCATAAAAGATCTGGAGGAGCCACTGAAAAGGCCCTGAGACAGGGAGGAACTTGGTGTGCTCCCAGCCAGAAGGCCATTGCGCCTGGAGGTCTGTGGAAGGAGACAGGTCAGAGAGGTGGTAGGAGGCCAGGCGATGGAGGGCCTGTGGATTTACTCTAAAGGTTATGGGAAGCTGTGGGACAGTTTTGAGCAGGCCTTGGTATGCTCTGAATTGTGTTTCAAAGAGCTGATTGTAGCTACTATGTTAGAGACTAGATAGTAGTAGATGCAGGAAGACTTGCAGTAGTCAGGACAGGGGTAGGTGGTGACAGAAGAGACAGTGAAAAGTGAACAATGAATTGTTTTCAGGGGATAAAGAAAAGGGCAGAAATAAGAATAAAGCTTTGAGTTTTGGCTTGGGCAATCCACATGGAGGTCCTCTTGAATTAGTGCCTTCCCGTTAGGTTTAGAATATGAAAACCAGAGTTTGTCCCTGCTGACATGTCCTGCATGGTCTTGCCTATCTCTCCCTCATTCCCTGCCACTCCCCGCCTTCCCCTCTAAAAGTCAGTGAAACTAAGTCAGCTTCTCAATTCCCAGAACTGTCCCAGTCCTGTTACCTTTCCATACACACATTTCCACCAACTAAGACACCACCTCCTCAGATGCCTCCAGCCACCAGCCCGGATATTTTCCATCACAGAACTCTGGATTTTCATTTGTAGTACTTGCCAGAATTTGTAATTAAGTAAACACTCAAATAGGTGATTCCTGGTTCCCCTAGGAGACTATAAGCTGCAGGGAGGGTGTACTTTTTCTGCCTCTGGAGCCTACACAAGCCTGGTGCAGAATGGGTGCTCAGTGCACGTCTATTAAGGGAGTGGGTGCCTGGGAGAACCTGGCCAGTGGGTGATGGTATGGAGATGGGAGACATTATAGAGTGGTCCTATAATGCTTTCTAGGTTCTTCAGATGAGCAGTATGCTTGGACTTCATTCCTTTTTGAAGTGTCAGAGGACTAATAGCATTTATTTTTAAAAATTTATATTAGACCTTGGATGTCTGAAAAACTTGAGTGGTTTTAACTTCTGAACTGTACAAATGCCACAGGGTAGGATGCTTTTCCTTCACCACCAGGTCCCTGGTGCCCAGCACAGTGGTACTTAGCACTGTAAGACTGTGACACATGTTGACTGATGCTCATTCATTCTTTCTCTCAAGGTTAACCTGAAGCGACCATGTCCTTTCTGGGCAGAAGATGGCCATTGTTCAATAAAAGACTGTCATGTGGAGCCTTGCCCTGAGGTAAAATAAATTTTTTAAAAATCAAGAAAAGAAGGGCTTTTAGATAAGCATGAACTCTAAATTTCAGGCTTATGTCAAAGCGTTTGGACTTAGCATCAGATTCACATGCCCTCAGCTTTCTTCTTTTTAACCAGGTTATGGAAGATTTAGTCTGTACTTGCCACCAAAATGCGTTTGAAGACACTCATGTATCCAGTGATGTTGGTGACTAGATGTAAAACTAGAGTCTGATTCTAAAATGGAGGCCTATTCTAAGACAGGATCTACAGTTGGCTGTTATTTCATGCTTTATTAAATCTGCATCTTGTTTCATGGGCAAAGAAAGTGCTGCTGCTAAGTCACTTCAGTTGTGTCCGACCCTGTGCGACCCCATAGATGGCAGCCCACCAGGCTCCCCCGTCCCTGGGATTCTCCAGGCAAGAACACTGGGGTGGGTTGCCACTTCCTTCTCCAATGTGTGAAAGTGAAAAGTGAAAGTGAAGTCGCTCAGTTGTGTCCGACTCTTAGGGACCCCATGGACTGCAGCCTACCAGGCTCCTCTGTCCATGGGATTTTCCAGGCAAGAGTACTGGAGTGGGGTGCCATTGCCTTCTCCAAGAAAATGCTACTGGACCTTAAATTTCAAATTTAGAGTAGGAATTAGAGTGCAAAAAGTTGGGAAATTCAAAGTTTGGCATTAGGTCTTCACTTGGTCTTGTTACACTGGGAGGAAAAAGGGCTGTACTTATTAGTAGGGGAATGCTACAGTTCAGACTTTAATTTTTGAATTATATTCCTCTTTGACGGTTTCTTGCTGGGAAAATCCCATGGACGGAGGAGCCTTGTGGGCTACAGTCCATGGGGTCGCAGATAGTCGGGCACGACTGAGTGACTTCACTTTCACTTTTGACAGTAATTAGTTATAAGCTGTATTTTCATTTTACTTTTTTTGTTCTATTACCTAAAATCAGTTAGTATAGTTTTTGCCTTACAAACAGGAAAAAACATCTGAACCAATGTCCTTTCTTTTAAAAATTACTTACGTTTTCCTTTAAGAATAAAATGTTTTAACTCTTCAGTTTGAAATAATTTCAGACCTACAGAAAAGTTGCAAGAATAGTACAAACAATTCCCATATACTTTTATCCACATTTCCCCAAATGTTAAATGTTGACCAAGTTTCCTTTCTTCTTCTATCTATATGTATATATTAATATTATTATTTTTTGAACCATTTAGATATGTTACCAACATGATCTTTTATCCTTAAATACTTCAGTGTGTATTTCTTAAAAGACAAGATTATTAACCACAGTGTAATTAACAAAATCAGGAAATTAATATTTATATAATACTAATGTCTATAGATGTGATTCACGGGGTTGCAGAGTCGGACACAACTGAGCTACTGAACTGAACTGAATGTCTATAGACTTTAATCACAGATCACCAGCTGACTTAATAATGTGCTTTTACAGAAATAGCAACAATAACAACTAAGTTTCTGACCCAGAATCATACCTTGCATTTGGATGTCATATCTCTTTAGTTTTTTTTAATCTGGAATAGTCCTTCAGTGTTCCTTTCTCTTTTGTTGTCTCTTTAACAAACCCCTTCCCTCCCTCCTTTCCTTTTTCCCTTCCTCCTTCCTTAAAATACACCAGTTATTTTGAGACTACCTCTTATTTTGTTTTTTTCTGGCCTTTTCTGATGGTTGCATTCAGGTCATGCACTCTGGACAGGACAGCATGGAAGGGATGGCATGTCCTTCTCAGTGTCCTATTGGGGGGCACATTACGTCATCATGATTGCAGGATTAGTCTTGCATGGCTGTATTTCTTCATGGTAAACTGGGAAACATTTTTTGAAACTATGAAAACATCCAGTTTTTTTATTGTATTTTTACCATCGTGGTTTTAGCATCCACTCATGATTCTTGCCTGAATTAATTATTTATATGATGATTGTCCAATAGTGATTTTTCTGATTCCATTTCTTCTACATTAGTTGACATTCTACTGCATAAAGAGCTTTTCCTTTATTTATTGTATGTTTATGTCAATATGAACTTGAGTTATTTTAATATCATTACTATCATTATGGTTTTTAATAACAGCTTTATTCAGACATAATTCACCTACCATAGAATTCACTCATTCTAAAGTACACAATTCAGTGAGTTTTAGTATATTACAGAATTGCACAACAGTCATCACTCTATAGTTGTAATACTTTTCACTACCCCAGAAAGAAACCCTTACCCATGAGCAGTCATTCCGTCTTTCTTACTCTCTCCTGCTGGAAACCACTAATCCATTCTGTCTCTATGAATCTGCCTATTGTGGACACTTCATGTAAATAAAATCATACCGTATGTGATCATTTGTGACGTTTCTTTTGCTTAGCATAGTGTTTTGAAGGTCCATCCATGCTATAGTGTGTATCAGTATTTCATCCCATTGCTGAGTATTATTCCATTGTATGGGTATACCTCATCTTGTTTATTTATTAGTTGATGGACATTTGGATTGTTTCCACTTTTTGGCTACTGTGAATAATGAATAAATATCTAGGCACAGATATTTGTGTGTACATATGTTTTTCAGTTCTCTTAAGTATACTTTGGAGTGAAAGTGCTAGATCATATAGTAACTTTAACTCTTGAGGAATTGCCAAACTGTTAACCATTATGGCTGCATCATTTTACATGGACTCTAGCAATGTATGATGGTTCCAGTTTCTGTGCATACTTGTCAACACTAACTGCTGTCTTATCTTTTTTTTTTTTTTTTTTTGGCGTGGGCTTTCTCTAGTTGCGGCAAGTGGGGGCTATTCTTCATTGTGGTGCACGGGCTTGGAAGCCATGACTTCTCTTGTTATGGAGCACGGGCTCTAGGTGTGCGGGCTTCAGTAGTCTTGGCACACAGGCTCAGTAGTTGTGGCCTATGGACTTAGTTGCTCTGCAGCATGTGGAATCTTCCCAGACCAGGAATTGAACCCATGTCTGCTGCATTGGCAGGCAGATTGCTATCCACTGTGCCACCAGGGAAGTTCTCTGTATTATGTTTTATTTTAGCCGTCCTTACAAATGGCATCTCATTTTGCTTTTGATTTGCATTTCCCTGATATCAGGCATCTTTTCAGTGCTTATTAGCCATTTGTATGTATTCATCAAAAGCATGTCTGTTCAAATACTTTGCCCATTTTTAAATTGAGCTGCCATTTTATTGCTGAGCTGTAAGAGTTACTTTGCACAGTATATGTTTCTAAGTTGTTTTTATGTTAACATATCAGTTTCTTTTTGTCTACAGTGGCTTATACTCTGTAGTCTTAGATTTCTTTTTTTTTTTTTAACTTTTTATTTTGTACTGGGGTATAGCCAATTAACAATGGTGTGATAGTTGCAGGTGAACAGTGAAGAGACTCAGCCATACATATACATGTATCCATTCTCTTTCAAACACGCCTCCCATCCAGGCTGCCACATAACATTGAACAGAGTTCCATGTGCTGTACAGTAGGTCCTTGTTGGTTATCCATTCTAAATATAGCAGTGTGTACATGTCCAGCCCAAACTCCCTCTCCCTCCCTCTGCCCTACCCCCATAAGTTCATTCTCTTAAGTCTGTGAGTCTTTCTATTTTGTAAGCTCATTTGTATCATTTTTTTTAGATTCCACATATAAAGGATGTCATACAGTATTTCTCCTCTGTCTTGTAGACTTAAATTTCTACCAAAAATAAGTGAAAGTGTTTATTTGCATGTAAATCCCCAACATAAGAAATCTAACACAAGTATTTAAAAATTTGTCTCTTCCCTTCCCAATGCCATCTTCTTTCATTTCTTTCTGGAGATAAAAACTATCCCTTTATGTTGGTTCTTTTAACTAATGTGAGGACATTTGTATTTCTCTCTCTTTGGGGGGGAATTTACTAGGCATTTCATATTGAACCTGAACTTGTCATGATATGGAGTTGCAATTTGCATTCTATAATTTGAAGTCTAATTTAATCATGAGGCTCACTTAATTTTGTAATTTGCAGACTGCTTCATATTGTTAGTGGCAATGGCGAGGTTTATGTTTGATTTTAGTTATTAGCTTTACATTTGTCATTGCTTTTAATAATTCCCCTTTGTGATTTTTATGTTATACATGACTATCATCTGTGGTGCCTATCCCAATATTTCTCAATAGCCTGTATTAAGATTCACTTAAGTTACAAGTTACTGCATTTAGCATCAAACCTTTTAAAAAGCTGCAAGTACACTTTTATTTTAGCATATTATGTGAGTTAGAAGACAACAGTGAGAGGGCACTTTTGATAAGTATTTCATACCTTAAATTCAGGGTCTGATAACTGTAACTGTTACATTTGGCTTGAGTTTTATAGTTTTCTCTCTTCTGCCCTCTGTTAGTGGTGCTAGAAGACACTGAAATAAAATATTGGCAGCAAGTAATGTTTTACTACTTGATCTCTTTGTTCATTGGGGAAAAATTTTTATCATTATTGTTACTTACATTCTTCAGCCTGACAGAAGAATATTTATTCTGAAAATTTGATTAAGTTTTATCTATGAAACATGAAAAAGTTTTAATAGGTAATTTGCTAATAATTTGATAATCCATAGATTCAGATGTTGGAAATCAGTCCCCTGGTATGATCCGAGGATCAACCCGATACTGTCCGCTTTCAGATATAATTTTTGTTTAAGATTGTGTTTGATAACCCAGTTGTAATGATTCATAGATTTATTTATGCTTGAAATGAATTATTGGTTTTACAGAAAAGATAGACCTATATACAGTTCTTAACACTGATGCAGTTCTTACATTGGTAAACCTTTAGGTTAATCATGAACCAAAGAGCTTACTCTTTAAAAAAAAATTATTGAAGTGTGGTTGATTTTGTTGTTTAGACATTACATCATGTTCACAATGTTGATAATTTCTGCTGTATAGCAAAGTTACTCAGTTATACATATAATACTTTTTTATATTTTTTCCCATTTTGTTTTTTCACAGGATGCTGAATTTAGTTCCCTATGCTATACAGTAGGGCCTTGTTGTTTATCCATCCTACATACAGTAGTTTTTATCTCCTAACCCCAAACTGCCAATCCTTTCCTCCCCCACACCCTCCCCCTTGCCAACCACAGTTCTCTCAAAGAACTTACTCTTGCTTTTTAGTATTAATTCAAAATTATCTAAACTTTAAATGTCAACTTTGAGCAAAACTTTTAATTGTCAACTTTGAGCAAAACTTTTAATTGAACATAATAAATTTCAAATAATTTTGAATTTTTAAGAAGTTTCTGTGGAAAGAAAGTTTATGGAAAAAGTGATTTTGCTAGGGTCTTTTTGAACCTAAAAATTATATAAACTATTATTTACTGCGTTGAGAGTTATTAGAGCTGATTATGACAACCTTTGTCTTTCAGTTTTCTGTACTATGATTTACAAGCCTGTACATTGGGGTAGTTCTTTACTTTTCATCTCAAGAGGTAGTATGAAAATAGAATTTGAATGAATGTATATTTTCTCCTCGTGGACTAAAACAGTCTTTGAATTAGGATAATGGCATTCATAATCTGTGAAAAAAATCTCAAGAAATATAAAGATCATTTTCTAAATTTTTATTGTTGTTCTTTTAAGAGTAAAATTCCAGTTGGAATTAAAGCTGGGAATTCTAATAAGGTAAGTCACTTTTCTTCATTAAATATTTCTGCTTTACGTAGTGAAACTTGCCCCCTACTGGTTGATGCGGTTGCAAAAGAGAACCATAATATGGTTAGCTGAGAACAGACACATTTTTGCCTGAAAATCCCAAATCCCTAATTTTGTAGCAAGTCATGAGGTGTAATATATTCTTACAATTAAATTATATAGCTTCTTTTGAAATACTTTAGTTCTGTTTTTAGAACTTCTAGAAGAACTATAGAACATAACTACAGTGTCAGTTTACCTAATCAGCAGGTGTTTTATCAGGCATGTGTTTTTACTCTTCTTTTTCAACAAGATAATCATACCTTCTCTCTCTGCTTCCTAATGCATTTGCTCTCCATTTTGTTCTTATACTCTCTACCATTTGCAGTCTTCTGTGCTCACCCTTTTTTATGTATTTTTGTTTCAGATCTAAAATAAATAGTATAAAGATAACTGAAATCCTTTCTGAACTCTGTCCCAGTCCCACTATCTAATAATATTTCCTCCCTCCTTAGAGCTAGTCACTTTGCTGAAGTTGTCGTGTATCCTTCTGTGATATTTTTTATGTTGTATTACACACGTATCTACAAGATACTTTACTTGAAATTTTTGAAACTTTAAAATAAATTTATATTTTGTGTTTCTTCAAGTTAAAAACATTCTTTACTTAATAGTTTTACTCAGTATTGGCTTTTAACATTTTATCTCTGCTGATATATGTAGATTTTGTTAATTTTAATAGCTGTAAAATACTCAGTTGTATAGATATTTGTATAATTGTGTGACTAGCCATTCCTCTGTTGATAGACATTTCAATTGTTTTTAGGTTTTTGCTATTACAAACAATGACGCACTGGCATCTTTGTCTTTCGTCGAATTGTGCACATATGTAAGAGTTTCTTTAGGTCTATATTTAGAAGTAAGATTGCTGGGCCAAAGGGTATGCCTATCTCAACATTATGAGAGTACCAAATAATTTTCTAGAGTGATTCTTGTTTTTAAATGTTGCTCTGGATAGAGATGCAGCAGTAGGACTGCTGGCTCAAGGATTTATTCATATTTGCAGCTCTACGTAAATGTTAAGTTACTTTCCCAAGAGGGTCTTCTCAGTTCACATCATCACCAACATACCAATGCAAACTGCTATATTTTTAATGTCTTTGCTTACATTATTAGGTGGAAATTTGTGACATATTTTCATTTGTATTTCTTCTGTATGTTAGGGATTTTGATGATAAGATGTATCTATATTTAGTATATATTATCATTGACAAATTGACTCTTCTGTTAATGAAAAATGAAATAAAGATAATAATAATCACTAAACTTACTTATTATGAACTTCCTTTCAGTACTCAAAAGTGGCAAATAATACCAAAGAATTAGAAGACTGTGAGCAAGCTAGTAAACTGGGAGCAATTAACAGCACATTAAGGTAAATTTATTTTAGTAGTGTTAAGAAAATATTCTCTTGTTTAATTTATTTGCATTAGAAATCTTTTATTTTTCTTGTGATTTTGATTAAATACTAGTTTCAACTAATTTTTAAAAGGAAGAAGTTATTCTTTATCCTACATTCCATGATAGCTTTCCTTCTTCTTGACTAATTTGTTCTTAAATTTCTGTCATCAATAATGACTATATTGTCATCAATAATGACAATAATGATATTAAAAAAGACTATTAAAAAAGGCAGTTTATCAGCTAACAGGGTTTATGAGTCATTCTTTATGATTATTATAGGAAAAGAAACTTGAATATCTAAGTTTTTAAAAAATAGTAATTCATTGCAGGAAGGGGAGGGTGAGATGATTTAAGAGAGTAGCACTGAAACATATATATTACCATATATAAAATAGACAGACAGTGGGAATTTGCTATATTCCTAAAGCCAGTGCTCTCTGACAACCTGGAGGGGTGGGATGGGGAGGGAGGTCTAAGAGGGAGGGGACATATGTATACCTGTGACTGATTCATGTTGATGTGTGGCAGAAATCATCACAATATTATAATTATCCTCCAATTAAAAGTAAAAATGGTAATTCAATCTATATGTTGCATTTTGACTATTAAAGGTTTCTATTAACATAACTGTTACAATTCATAATTTTTTTTTCTGTTGACTTTTCTTTATTTGCTCTAAGTACAAACCTGCTTTTGAAGGCCAACATAAATAATTTGCAAGTGGTCTCAGATAATGCAGTATAAAATGACTGAGCAGAAGGCCGTATTATAGAAATTATTTTTCTTGTTTAGATATGTAGTTGTGTACTATAAATGTTAAAGACTTAATAAAGTTAGCAGTTTTATGTATCTGATTTACTGATGAAAATTCTAATGTAGAAAAGTAGAAATGATGGTATAATAAACACCCATATATCCACTACTCCAAACAAATAAGTGTTAATGTTGTCTACTATGTTTTTGAGAAGAATGTCAAAGACAAATTTGAAATTCCACATGTTTCTTTCTCAGTCCCTGTTTTCTTCCCTTTTTTCTCAGAAGTAAATGAATTTGGTGTATATATAGTCCATATTTTTGTTTTTAGTTTTTAATATAAACTATATGTAGATACATAGATGTAGTTTGTGTAGAAGATTTTATTTTTCCTTTATGTAAATTATGTGTTAAATAACATTCTGAAACTTTCTTTTTACACTGCACATTTTGCTTTCTAGATATATCCATGTTAAAACTCAAGAGATTTGCCTCTTTCTTTTAGCTCATGAATGGTTTTCATCATATAAAGCAAAAGTCACTCAGTCATGTCCAACTTTTTGGGACCCCAGGGACTATCTACAGTCCATAGAATTCTCTAGGCCAGGATACTGGAGTGGGTAGCCTATCCCTTCTCCAGCGGATCTTCCTGACCCAGGAATCAAACTGGGGTCCCCTGCATTGCAGGTGGATTCTTTACCAACTGAGGGAAAGCTGTCAGGGAAGCCCAGTGTTCATCAGTGGGCAATAGACAAGTAAAATATGGTATTCCCCTACTGATGAACATTTTTTACTTTTACAAATTGTTTCTATTACAGATTTTTTACTTTTACAAATTATGCCACTTTGAGCATCCTTGATAATTTTTTTTTTTTTCCCCCGGAGTTGAATTTTTTGATTTTTGGGCTTGCCTTTTTCCGGTTGTTTTTTTTTTTTAATGTTTATTGGCATATAGTTGCTTAGCTGTTCTTGATATTGCCTAATGGCTTTCTAAAATACTTATGTGGCTGTGTGTTGCCTCCAACACCAAGAACTTGTTTTGTTGTCCACATCTTTGACAAAAATTGATAATATTTAACTGTGAAATAGTATCTCATTTCTCATTTTTGTTTAATTTATATTTTGTTGATTACCAGTGAGTTTGAGCATTTTTTCCCCTCTGTTTATTGGGCATTTGGGTTTCTTATTCATTCAACAAATGAATGTCAGGCACTATCCTAGGGATATAGCAGTGTACATGAGAAACAGTTTCCTGCCCATGTACAGCTTAAAACAAAGTCAATGAGAAGTAAGTCAAATGATGATGAGTGCTGGGGAGAAAATAATGCAGGGAAGACTGAGAGAGGGGTTGGAGTGAAGGTGCTTGGAATGAAGGTGCTTGCACTGTTTTAAATTGGTGGTCCAGTGGTTAAGAGTCTGCCTTCAAATACATGGAGCCCACTTTTGATCCCTGGTCAGGGAACTAAGATCCCACATGCCTCGAGGTGCAGCAGTAGATAAATAAATAGTCCAAGAAGACCAGAGTGATAACAGACAAAGTGCTCTTGAAGGCATGAGTCATGATAATATGGCTGCAGGGGAGGGGGTGGTGGTGTTGGGGTTGGTGGGTGGGGGAGACGAGTACTCCAGGCATGCATAATGGTGAGTAAAAGGCTCTGAGGTTGAAGTCTTCCTTGACTTCTTGAGGAGTCACATGGCCAGTGTGGCTAGAGTACAGTAAACAAGAACAAAATAGAAGAAGATAAGATCAAAAGGTGCTGGGGGCGGAGTGGCCAAGGGCAGGGTAGGGTGGAGATCTCATAGAGTCTTGAAGACACTTAACTATGAATACTGATTTCAAACTGAGTGGAATGAAAAATTACTGGAGGATTTTGAGAGAGTGGGTTTGGCAGAGCCAGGTTTTTGGAAGCCTGGTTGTATAGTTATAGTAGTATCCTGCTAAGACATGATGGTGGTTCAGTTTAGACCGGAGTGATAGCAGTAGAATCCCCAGGGAATTTGACTTTGGAGAGCAGTGGGATTTGATTCAGTTCAGTCAGTTCAGGAGCTCAGTCCATGTCTGACTCTTTGCCACCCCACAGACTGCAGCACGAGACTCCCTGTCCATCACCAACTCCCGGAGTTTACTCAAACTCATGTCCATTGAGCCGGTCATGCCATCCAACCATCTCATCTTCTGTCATCCCCTTCTCCTCCCGCCTTTAATCTTTCCCAGCATCAGGGTCTCTTCAAATGAATCAGTTCTTCGCATCAGGTGGCCAAAGTATTGGAGTTTCAGCTTCAACATCAGTCCTTTTCAGGACTGATTTCCTTTACGATGTACTGGTTGAATCTCCTTGCAGTCCAGGGGACTCTCCAAGAGTCTTCTCCAACACCACAGTTCAAAAACATTAATTCTTCAGCTCTCAGCTTTCTTTATAGTCCAACTCTCACGTCCATACATGACTACTGGAAAAAACATAGCCTTGACTAGACGGACCTTTGTTGGCAAAGTAGTATCTCTGCTTTTTAATATGCTGTCTAGGTTGGTCATAACTTTCCTTCCAAGGAGCAAGCGTCGTTTAATTTCATGGCTGCAGTCACCATCTGCAGTGATTTTGGAGTCCCCAAAAATAAAGACTGCCACTTTGTCTATTGTTTCCCCATCTATTTGCCATGAAGTGATGGGACTGGATGCCATGATCTTAGTTTTCTGAATGTTGAGCTTTAAGTCAACTTTTTCACTTTCCTCTTTCACTTTCCTCAAAAGGCTCTTTAGTTCTTTGCTTTCTACCATAAGGGTGGTGTCATCTGCATATTTGAGGTTATTGATATTTCTCCCAGGATTCTTGATTACAGCTTGTGCTTCATCCAGCCCAGCGTTTCTCATCATGTACTCTGCATATAAGTTAAATAAGCAGTGTAACAATATACAGCCTTGACCTACTCCTTTTCCTATTTGAAACCAGTCTATTGTTCTATGTCTAATTCTAACTGTTGCTTCCTGACCTGCATACTGATTTCTCAGGAGGCAGGTCAGGTGGTCTGGTATTCCCATCTCTTTCAGAATTTTCCACAGTTTGTTGTGATCCACACAGTCAAAGGCTTTGGTATAGTCAATAAAGCAGAAATAGATGCTTTCCTGGAACTCTCTTGCTTTTCCGATGATTCAGCAGATGTTGGCAATTTGATCTCTGGTTCCTCTGCCTTTCCTAAAACCAGCTTGAACATCTGGAAGTTTATGGTTCACAAACTGTTGAAGCCTGGCTTGGAGAATTTTGAGTATTACTTTACTAGGTTGTGACATGAGTGTAATTGTGCAGTAGTTTGAGCATTCTTTGGCATTGCCTTTCTTTGGGATTGGAATGAAAACTGACCTTTTCCAGTCCCGTGACTCCTGCTGAGTTTTCCAAATTTGCTGGCATATTGAGTGTAGCAAAGGTGTTTGATTACAGAACTTAATACAGGACTGGGGAAACAGACTCTTGGAGGGCACAAACAAAACCTTGTGTGCACCTGAACCCAGGAGAAAGGAGCAGTGGCTCCACCAGAGACTGACCCAGACTTGCCTATGAGTGTCCAGGAGTCTCTGGTGGAGGTGTGGGTTGGTGGTAGCCTGCTACAGGGTCAGGGGCATTGAGTGTGGCACTGCATTCCTGGGACCGCATGCACGGGACCTTTTGAAGGAAGTCACCATTATCTTCATTACCTCCACCATAGTTTGGTCCCAGGTCAAACAAGAGGGAGGGAACACAGCCCCGCCCATCAACAGATAATTGGATTAAAGATTTACTGAGCATGACCCATCAGCAGAAAAAGACCCAGTTTACCCCATAGTCAGTCTCTCCCATCAGGAAGCTTCCATAAGCTTCTTATCCTTATCCATCAGAGG